GTGTGTATAATTTACATATACATATGTAAAATCTCCAGTGGGATAGACTATTTTAAAATATATTTGTTAGCTATGTCTTCTTTTGTAAATTTTTAAATAATTTGTTGAGTTGTTTATGTCTAATGTGTTAAGGTTGGTGACCTGCCTGTCATTTATGGGATTCTCTCCTGCACTTTGTTGCTTGCCTTTTAATTTAGCCTCAGGATTTTTGGCAGGACCTATTTTTTTATTGTTTCAGTATTTTTTTTAATAAATGCATTTTGATTTTTTAAAGATTTTTATTTATTTATTTTTAGAGAGGGAAGGGAGGGAGATAGAGAGAGAGAGAAACATCAATGTGCGGTTGCTGGGGGTCATGGCCTGCAACCCAGGCATGTACCCTGACTGGGAATCAAACCTGCAACACTTTGGTTCACAGCCCGCACTCAATCCACTGAGCTACGCCAGGCAGGGCAGAACCTATGTTTTTAAAAATTGTTTTCCATTTTTATTATGAAAATGTCAAAAATAAAAAGAATATAAATAATAGAAAAATATTATAACAACAAATACCCATGGAATCGAGAATTCTCATTCATTGTGCATGCATGTGTGTTTGAAAGTTGCAGATACCGTGTTAGCCCAAAATATCTAGTTTGGCCCTTGACTAAGACTGGGGACATTCTCCTTCGTGACTGTCACCCGGCCTTCGCCTGAGAACGTCACCAGTCCTTTGTGACGTCATCTCTCCGGTCCACGGTCCATGTTCTCAAACTGCCCTCACAAGGACTGTAACAGCTGTTTGTACAGATTCCTGGTCGAGATCATGCCTTTCCTTTGGTTGTTACACACCTTCAGTGTTTTTTAATATCTAGAACAGTTCCCCAGCTTTTTTCTATGGCACTGACTGACTTGAGTCAAGGACAGTTGTTTTACTTTTTACAATTTTTTTCCATTATTTATGTTTTTTAAAAACTGTTTTAAAATTGATGTCAGAGAGAGGGTGAGGGAAAACAGAACAGAAACATCGATGTGAGAGAGAAACATTGATCGGTTGCCTCTCATACAGGCATGTGCCTTGACTGGGAATTGAACCCATGACCTTTTGATTTTCAGGGTGACACTCCAAGCAACGGAGCTACACCAGCCAGGGCAAGGATTGTTGTTGTAGAATGTTTGTCTGCACTGTGGATTTGTCAAAGTCCTTGTGCATTATTTAATTTGTTCCTCTTCCTCCTGTGTTTCCCACTAACTGGAAGTACCTCTAAAGGATTGATAAGTTCTGGTTGAACAGTTTTTTTCAAGAGTACTTGAAAAGGGCCCTGGCTGGTGTGGCTCAGTGGATTGGGCGCGAGCCTGTGAACTACAGGGTTGCCAGTTCAATTCCCAGTCAGGGCACATGCCTGGGTTGCGGGCCAGGTCCCTGGAGCGGGGTGTGTGAGAGGCAACCACACTTTCATGGTTCTGTCCCTCTCTCTCTTCCTTCCCCTCTGTCTAAGAATATATCAATTTAAAAAATCTTAAAAAAGAATACTTGAAAAGGGCCAGCCCTTCTCAAACTGTACTATCATGAGAATCACCTGGGAACCTTTGTGAATTTCAGAATCTGATTCAATAGGTCTGGGCGGGGCCTGAGGATCTGCATTACCAACAAGCTCCCAGGTGAGGCTGCTGTGCCTGCTGGACCTCGGACTGCGCTTCAAGCAGCACCCGCAAGGGTGATGCCTCGCATCTCCCAGTGCATCATCACATCACACTGGGGCTGTGTGATGGCAGGCTGCCCCAGTGGGAGTGATGCAGAGTTTGCTCCCTTGCTCACTGCCAGGGATCCCCACTTAAAGGCACATGCCCCTCTTTGCGATCAGAAGTCATCTTGGGGTGATGACTCGTACATGGCAGTACAAACGTTTGTAATTCTTTATTCACCACTCTCTACTTTTCCCATTTTGTCGTTACTTGTCCCACCTCTGTTTTCCCCGCAGTGTCTCTGTAGCTCACTGCTGGACCCTTGTGCCTGGGGTAGGGCAGGCAGGCAAGGATCGAAGGAAAGACACAGACTCTGAGTTCTGTATGATGTTACGTTCAGAAAGGTGACTATGTCTTTTTTTATTTTAAACCGATTTTTATCATTTTTTTAAAATTAATAAATGCACTTGGTAAAATAATTCAAAAGATGCACAGGTATATAGTAAAAATGTGCCCCTCCCTTCCTGGGTGACTTCCACCCAGCCGCCCAGCCCTGCTGCCCAGCATGAGCCACAGTGCCCGCTTCTCGTTGCCCACTGCGGTACAAAACAGTGCACATGTGCACCTATTTTTAGAGTGCTCCTTAGTGGCAGTACACCATCACCACTGTCATGATTCTTGCTTTGTTTCATTTCCTCGTCTACCTTGGGGATCGTTCTGTATCTACCTGGATAGTTCCACTTCCCTGTTTTCCATGCCTGCATGGTGTTGTCAGGCACAGACGGAGTGAATTTGTTTAACCAGCCCTCATTGATGGACACAGGTTATTTCAAGTCTTGCTGTTACAGACAAGGATGCAATTAACACGGGGATACATACGAGGTCATACATATACACATTTTCGTTTACAGCATAAATTCCTAGCAGTGGAATTGCTGGATCAAAGGCTTCTGAATTTTAAAAATAGTTTTGGAAGACAGTACTGTCCAATCACTCCCCGAAGAGGCTGTGCCGGTTTACACTCCTGCCAACAGTTGTACTGCATCAGGTGGCTGTCCCGCCTGCTGTGTGTGTGTGCAACAGGCAAATAGTGAGTATCTGTTTTACCCTGGGCCCGGCTAGAGACATCTTCACAGCTGACATTTCCAAAGCCGGCCTCCCTTCTCTCCCACCGCTGTCCCCAGAGCCAGCTTGCCGCAGCTTCCTGTCCAGTTTATCTCCTATCTCACATCCATCCTTCCTCCTCCTCCTTTCACTCTGCTTCTCTGCCCCAGCTCAGTCTTCAGTCCCCACCCTCTGCGGCTGTGGCTTCCCAGTGGTGTCTCCAGTGCCCTACCCGTGTCTTAGCTCCCGACGGGGACAAACGCTGCCAGGACTGAGCGCACCTCTTTCCTGTTCGGTGTCCCTCCAAGGCACCCTCTGCAAGAAAGAAGGCGACCGCCTCGGTCTGCCTACAGATCTGCCTGACCTGGACCCCCCTGCCATCTGCAGCGTCACCTCCCGCGCTCCCCGCTGTGCACACTTCCAAAAGTGTTGTCGTTCCCCACGCTCCCTTCTCCAGCCGGCTCCGGGCTCCCTGACTTCCTTTAGGGCGCACCTCCTCGCCGCCAGCCGCCAACACCCGAGCCTCTCCTCCTTCCCAAACTCCTCTTAGCTGCACTTCCTCCGCATGCACCTCCCAAACCCCCATGGCCATCCCCGGCAGGGTGGGGGGGGTCCCCCTGTGCTCCAGGCCTTCCACTTTCTCTGCTGCACATTTGCAGCATTTCAGCTTTCGGACAGTCTGCTCAGGCGCCCTTCTGCACACTCAGGGGTGAGTTCCTTGAGAGCAGAGGCATACCCCAGTCATGGTGTGTCCCCGGGCCTGGCACCATGCCTGGCACGCAGGAACTGCAGATATATGTGGTTAAGTTGAGCCTTATGTGGGTGAAGCGTGTGTGGGTGGTGGTGGTGGGGAAAGGCTGGCTGCGGTCCCATTCAAAGTTCGGAGCCCTGGTGACTCCCTGGCCTGTGTGGGCCCCTGGGATGCAAATCCGGGGGACTGGCGTTTGCATGGAGAGCAGGAAATCCAGGAGGACCCGGAGGAGGACAAGGGCAGAGGCAGGGGGACTGGGTATTAACCCTGGCAGAGGCTCTGAGGCTCCAGCTCACACTTGGATGGAGCTGATGGAACTAAGCGAGGGTGCTCAAGATTCCCTTCCCAGGTCGGTGCTTCCCAGCGTGCTCCCACCAGGGAAAAGGGGAGGGGAGCGAGTTAGGGGAAAGGGGCGGTATCATATACACTGCAGGCCGTCCTCAGACACTTGGGGGGCTGACCAGCATCTGGGGCGCCAGGAGGCAGTCTCCAGGCTGAATTCACAAGGGGATGAGAGTGGGAGGGGTAGGTGGGTTGGAGATGGGGAGACAGGGCTCAACCTTTGGGAGGAGCAGATCTCCTCCAGTGGGCAGGGTGGGGGTGGGGTGTGAGGAACTAACCCCCCCCCACCCCCGGGAGAGGACTGAATGTGAGGCGTTTATCTTTCCAGCCCCGGTGTTGGGGTGGGGACGGGCTGGGGGAGGGCACGGCAGTCCACAATGACGGAGAGGTCTCTAGTGGCCACCGTGGGAAGCAGGAGAGGGCGGATCTGGGTGGGTGGGCCGGGAGGGCACTTCCTGCCAGGGCCTGGGGCTGCCCAGTTTTGCAAAGGAAGTGCTGCCAAGGCCGGAGGGGAGGGGGCAGGAAGTGGCCCGGAGGTTCTTGCAAGGGCGCGGCCAGCTGGAGGCCGCGAGGGGGGAGGTGAAAGGGAGCGGAGAGAACAGGACCCAGCAGCCGTCCCACCCAGTCTCCCCAGAGTCCCCGAAGCCTCAGCTTGCCAGCCTTTCTCGCGACACCACCAGGGAGGCCCATGTCGTTCAAAGTTCTTGCGTTTGCAGTTGAACTTGGCTTCTCTGTAACTCGTCCTGCGCCCCACCTCCACCCTCTGGGGCCTCAGAAACTCCTAACCTAGACTCCTGGGCAGAGACCACACCCCTCTCGTCTCCAAATACCTTCCTGGGGCCTCCCCTAGGGACTATTTCGGCTAAGCTTTAGAGCTAATCTTATGGAGTCCTCCAAGTGCAGGCATTTAATCAGTTCTGCAGGGCGCGGATCTGCATTTTGCAGATCAGATAACTGAGGCTGAGAGAAGTATGAAAATTAAACAGTACTCTTGGTTCTCACACTTGAAGCCCCAGGGGAACGGGGCGACCTGCACTCTGGCCCTCCCCGCTCCCAAGGGTTTGAAACGGGGCGTGGCTTCACGGGACACAGTCCCTCCCCCACTGCCCGGCTCCCCCAAATGATCACAGAGGCAGGATGGGGGTATTGGCTTCCTCTTTAGTTCTCATCACACTGAGGGGCTCTCTATCACAGAGAAGGCACTTAAATGGGAGGGTCCCTGGATTCAGACCAGCCATGTCCTCCACCCCACCCCCAGCTCTGGGTGGGGGGATGAATAAACATCTCCATTTGACACTCCCCTTGGCATGGCCATGTGGGTCCCCTTAACTGTTAGGTAGGTCCCTGGGAGAGCCCAAGGCCTTGACGTCCAGGCTCAGCGTTTGGGGGAGGGATTCCAGGTAAAGGAGCCAGAAGTGGAAGGCAGGACATCCGGGAGCAGCCCTCAGCCAGCAGGATGAGGCAGGGGGCTGCAGAGGGTGGGTTGGCACGGAGGAGGGGTGTAGCTTGGCAGGAATATGCCCAAACCCCACAAGAAGGGTCCCACCTCCTGCAGATCCCCTAAAGGCACAGGTGAAGTATGGAGTGGGTGGCAGAAACACCCATTAGGTGGTGTAGAGATCCCCTAACACCCACTCAGCTGGCTGCCCTAGCACAGGCTGGGCACAGAGCAGGTGCTCAGTAAGTGTGTTTTGAATGAATGAATGAATGAATGAATGATGTGAAGAGGATGTGGGGGGCAGAGGACAGGGCCTGGGGCCCCTTGGCCCAGCTTGTTTCATCCAGAAAATAGCAGTTGAAAAATGTAAAAATCCTCTCCCTCCCTCCCCGCAATTTATGGGCCCAGAAAAGGGGTGAGGAAGGCGTATCTCCACCCCTACCCTCCCTCTAAAAATCTATATACACATATACATATTTATATGGCACCACAAAAGGGTCCTGCCTATGTCCCCACACTTGGAGCTGGGGGAGCCAAGCCCCAGGGCCTCGGGTGGGCAAAGTAGACAGGAGGGGTCGGGGCTTGGGTGATGCAGGGAGCAGCCCCCAGCCACTGAGCCCAGAGAAGCTGGACTCCAGGTCCTGAAGGACAGACAGACCCTTGCTGCCTTCACAAGTGGTAACAGCTCCTCTCCCCTCCTGCCCACCCTCCTAGGTGGAGGCGGTAGGGTCTCTATCAGTCCCCACGGAGGCGGAGGCGGTGGGGAGACTGGTTCCTCCCCCAACAGCAGCCTGGAAGCTGTTCAGGCAAGAGCTGACCTGATTGGGCCCTGGGAAAACCAGGTGGTGGGGAAGAGGGCTCTAAGCAAGGCACTTGGGTGTCCATCATTCCCAGGCTGGGGGCCCAAGGCACGGGGCAGCAGGAACCCTGCCCCCTCCCCCAAGCAGAACCGGAAAGGGCCGAGGGGCCCATTTGGCAGCAGAGAAACAGGGCAGCACAGAGAGAAAGGGGGAGCAGCACGCAGGGCCCCTCAGGTCCCCCAAGAAGAGGAAGTTCTAAGGCACTGACACAGGGACCCAGGGTCTCACTGCCCTCTGTGCAGCCTGCTGCCCCCTTCACAGCCTGGCCAGGCTGCTAGGGGAGACGCCCACTTCCCCGTGGCACTGAGGTGGCCGAGGCTGCTGGGTTTTCCTAAGGAAGAGTCCACGTGCGAAGGGTGTAGGTGTGGTCAGGGGCAGGTCCTGGCCCCAGGGCACCTCACTAGCTGCCAGGCCGTGGCTGCCTGAGCACTGTGTACACGTCATCCACTCGGCTGAGCTGCTCGAAGAAGGGCAGGAGGTCGTGGAGCTCTGTGTCACTCATGTTGTCAAACCACGAGGCCACCGGTACCTGGGCAGATGGGCGGAGGGTCACCACCCTGGACGCAGAATATGCAGGCCATCCCTGAGCACCCATTGCTCGGTGGGCGACCTGCTGGAAGCCCCTTCCCCACAGCTTTCAGACACTCTGACAGCAGCCTCCAGGAAATTACATTTACATGTATAACAAAGCAACAATTTTATGAAATGATACTTCACCTAACTGTGTGCAAAGCCCTCTGATATTCCTATTTTATTTCATTGAAAAAAAAAATCCCAGCTAGGACCCCCTAAATTATTTCTGTGAGCCACTAAACTGGTCACAGCTAGCACCTTAAAAAACTGCAGCAGTTCCAATGCCCAGCCGGGACCCCAGCCCCAGCGCCACCCCTCCCCCCCCACAGGCAGGATGCACTGAGCGGTCAGCAAAGCACGTGGCCAGTGGACACAGGTCAGTGAGAGGGCAGGAGGAGTGGAGAGCGCCAGGCCCGGGACACTGCCCAGCCTGGGAGTGGGGAGGGGGACACAAACAGACAGACCCTGTTTCTTGGGTGTCAGCCCCCTAGCTGGGTCCTGCACAGCACTCACGGCGTTGTCCGGATGGAAGACGTAGGAGGCAGGGGAGTTGTCCAGAATGAGCACCCGCCGCAAGTCCCGGCCCAGCCTGCTCAGGTCCTTCACGTAGTTCCCGCGGTGGAAGACACATGACTCCCGGAACAGCCGTGCCCGAAAGGCCCCCCACTTGTCCAGCAGGTCGGCTACGGGATCTGCATACTGCAGATGGAAGGTGAGTCATCTGGGGCCAAGGGTGACCCAGAGGTCATTGCCCAGAGGCCGCAAGCTGCAGGGGAGGGCAGGGCAGGGCAAGGTTGTCCCGGGAGGACTGCAGAGGGTGTGGGGCTCACCTTGGCCAGGCTGGCAGTGAACAGCACGCACTCAAAGAGCTCGCCCATTCGCTGCAGGAACTCATCCACGTAGGGCCGCTTCAGCACGTAGACCTGGGGGGTGGGCCAGTGAGGGGACTGCCGGACCACAGGCAGGGAGGAGGGGTGGCAGGGGGCTGGGAGGGAGCCAGTGAAGGAGGCAGAAGAGCACAGGGAGCAGGCTGGTCCCAGGCCCTGCGGAGTGGGAAGTGGCGGCGGGGGGGGCGGTTCTCCACTTGGCCAGCCACCCAAACTGCTGCTAGGGAAACCACCACCCTCTCCAAAGAGGGTCAGAATAAACCTCCAACTTCCAGGCTTCAGGCCCTGCCTCAAGGGGAATCACTAATTCCCAGGCTCGTCCCCCACCAAGGCCTCAGCCAAATGGAGGGGCCTGGGGGCAGCCCCCTCACCCCAAGGCTGCAGGGCACCGGCTCCCGAGCCAAGTAATGGAGAACAGGCTGGATGGCACACAACCTATCCTGAATTACTTGAACTGGGTCCCGGGCAAAGCGGGGTAAGGGGATGCCAAAAAGAACCCCACTCCCTGCAGGCCTTGGAATCAAGTACCTGCGGGTCTGTGTGACCTTGGACCAGTCACACCCTCTCTGGGCCTCGGACATTCCACATCTATCAAAGACCTCTATGGAGCTCTCTGGACTGGTGGGGAGAGCCTGTTTGAATGGCAGGTGCTAAGCCCACTGCCTCCCCCAATACCCAGCCCCTCACCTGGTGGACAACCCCATCGATCTCCACGGGGATGATGAAGTCAGCATTGTTCACTGGCTATGGGGGAAAAGAGTGGCTGGAGCTGGGGGGAGCCCTGCCCAGACCGCCCTCCCCGGCCAGGGCAGGCCTCTCCAAAACCCAGGGCTGGGGGCTGCTGGGCAGGGCCCACCTTGAAAGAGCTGTGCACCAGGGTCTCATCCAAGTCGATGACCACGCAGATCTTGTCTGAGTCCTGGGGTTTGGCCTCAGGGAGCAGATACTGGACTGGGGTCTGCTGCGGGGATGAGCGGGAATAGCTTCGGGCTTCTCACCCACACCCCAGTTACAGCTCCTACACAGGTCTTCCCTCCCACAGCCCTCCACCTGGGGGGGCCAGAGGGACATGCAGAGAGACTGCCCTCCCCCCACATTTGCTCCTGCCAACTTGGGAGCCTGCGGCAGGCTGCCTGGCTCTCTGGGCCTCACTTCCCCACTTGGGAAACCAAGGTAGAGAACAGCATCCCCCTAGAAGGTGGAAATTTAGAATTCTCTTGGTAGAGGTCTTGGAGCTCTCAGGTGATGAGCTGGGAAGACCCAGAAGGGCTCCACCCTCCTCAGTACCTTCCAGGGCCTGCAGGCAGGCCAGGAAAAACCCTTTCTCCCAACCCCTGCCCTCTGCCCGGGGTGAATGAGCCCAGGGGTCCCTGCAGCTCTCACTTGGCCGCCACGCACCTTGGGAACAGCTCCGTTTTCCTCCACGAGCAGGGGTGCCCCGCTGTGGGTGGACAGGGCCTCCCCATCGTCCCGGCAGACGCAGCAGAAGAGTGAGTGGAGGATGCCCCGGCTCCGGGGCTTCTGAGAAGCGGATGACTTCTGGTCACCTGAGGCAGGGAGGTCCACGGTGGGGGCGTGCACACTGGCCTGCACAGGCATGCACCTATGCCCAGGTGCCAGCCCCTGGGGGGCTTCCAGGCTCTCACCATACCCTGTTCATTGAGGGGGACACGCCAGGGCGGCTCCAGGCTACCCCTCTGCTCCCCCACAAGTCGTTGGGGGGGGGGGGGATACAGAAGAGTGCCCATTAGGGAGTGGGCTGGCTGGAGGGGGGTACCAAGGGTGCAGTCTCTTCCTGCCTCCATCACTGCTGGGATATCGGCCCCACTGGGGGCACCTTCTGACATCCACCTTACCTGAGCAGCCCCTGCCCAGCTGGGACCAGGACGGTTGCGGCCTGGAGCCCCCTCCTGCCCCCCTTTATACTCTCAGGGCCCCGTGAGTCCAAAGTCCTCACTGAGGCTGGACAGAGACAGTGGGTGGACCTGGGGCCAGTGTCCTGCAGCCATCTGCCTGGCCGCCTCCTCCTCCTCCCCCGCCCCCTCCCCGCTCCGCCCCACCCCACCCCAACCTCCAACCTAGAGCCGAGTATCCGCCGGCTGATTGACAGGCCCATTCTCCACCCGGCCCCGGGTCGTCGCCCTCGGGCGGAGCTAGGCTCAGGCCCGAGGTGGGCAGACCTGAAAGGACTTCCTAGCCTCTGAAGTCCACACGGGGCCAGGGAGGGGCAGACCTGCAGCTCAGGCCCGTCAGGCCCGCCAGCCCCAGGGTCCCGCCGCAGCGAGCGGCGCGCTTCCCGGGCCGGTACTAGTGTGCACAGGCCCGGCGCCCCTGGGCCTGCATCCGGGACGCCGTGTGCCCGGCCCAAAGCACGGGTCTCCCCGCGGGCGCGCTGACGACTCCTGGAAGTAGTTGCTCCCCTCGGCGCCCCTGAGGGGCCCGGCGCTTCCCCGGGTGACGCGGAAGTTTGTGGGGAGCGCGGCTGTGTGTTGGCGGGAGATCCTTCCAACCCTCCCCAGCCCGCTGTCACCTCGGCACCCCTCCCGAGACCCAACCAAACCGAAGCCCTGGGTGGGTGGGTGGGTGGGTGGGGCGGAGTCTCCGCGGGTGGCCTGAAGGCGCCCTCTCTCACCGTCCTCCACCGCCCAGCCCCGTGGCGCTCATGGTGGGGGGTGGGGGGGTGGAGGAGGCAGCTCTCCGGCATTGCGCACTGGCAGCCCAGGAGACACCGAAGGAGCCCTATGTCTACCCATGCCTCAGCTTCCCCACTTCGAGCAGACGGGAGCACCCGAGAGGCGCCAGACCCCGCCCCGCGTTCCTGAGGCTCCCCGAGTTCAAACTCTCCCCGCTTCCTCTCCGGCTGGGAGCTTCGAGCCCCGCCAAGGCAGGCGACCGGGGCGGCGGCGGCGGCGGCGGCGGCTGCCCGGGGGAGGGTCCGGGCCCCTCCTTCCCCGCTCCCGCGGCGCCCCGGCTGCAGCCCCCTCCGCGGGCCCCCTGTACCTTTGCCCCGTAGCGGGCCCCGTGCCTCCTCCTTGCTGATCTGAGTAATGACGGCCGAGCTGTCCATGGGGCCGGGCGTGCTCCGCTCCGGCTGGACTCTGGCCCCGGCGCCCGGCCTCCCCCCCGGCTCGGGCCGGAATCGGGGCGCGGGGGGGAGGGGAGGGGTGGGAGGGAGGGATCCCCGCGAGCTTCGGAGGGGAGGGGAGCCAGGTTCTTAGAGGGAGGGGGAGGGAGGGGGCGCGGAGGAAACTTTGTTACAACATGGAGTTTCCTCCCCGCGAGGCGGATGCAAACATGGAACCCGGGCGCCGTTTCAAGGCTCCCCCTTAAAAGGGCAACGGCTTCGGCGTGACCAGGACTCGGCCGCAGCTTTCATCACTTCTGGGGCCGGCGCGACTCGGCGGGCGGGGAGGCGGGGCCAGCCCGGTTCCTGCCGCGCTCCAGGAGGCGTTGCCTCCCTTCCGACCGCCCGCCCGCGGGGAACTTCTGCGGCTGCGTAGCAGGACCTGCACCCGGCCCGCTGTTCCTGGTCGCCCCGCGCCGAGGAGTGCGGGCGGGCGGTGTGGCTTCATCTTTGCGCGTTCGGGGACAAGCCGCCGCGTCTCGGTTTTCTCCTCGGGGAAATGGGGGTAACGCTCTCTGATTAAATCATGAACAACCGGTGGCTTTTTTCTCCCTCCAAGCGACTGTGCCGATCCACACAGTTGTGCTCTGGACCGGACTGTGACCGTCGACACCCACCGCAGTCTTGGGGCCAGGTGACCCGTATTTTTGTAAGGCGGTAAAATTCCAACTCTGCCCCAGGAGCTCCCTGCCGACCTCTTCCAGCCGCCTCACCTGGCGCCCCGCACGTCTGTCCCGGTGCCCACGCCATCACCTGGTGCACCCGCCAGGAGGCGCCCTCGTCCGCGCTGTCCCCTCTCCCTGGAACCCTCTTCCTACGCCTTCGCGCAGCCAAATACCACCGACCTCGAGGAAAAGCCACCGTCTCCAAGAGGCCTTCCCAGACGCCGACCTCGACCACACGCAGGCCACTCTGATTACTGGGGGGAGGGATTGGCAGCGCCTGAACAGTGGGCGCTCAGTCCCTGCGGGCCCAGTGGTCATACTTGTGTGTACTCTTTGGAGGCTTTTAAACAGCGGTTCCACCCAGGTCCGCATCCACGCGGATTCTTCACTAGGGAAACCTCCCGTGTTATTGGCCCTGAGGGTGGATTTCTTTTTCCTGTTTATTAAGTTCTTTCCATTCGTCGTTACTACTTTGAGTTCACAGTTTTAAAAATAATAACACCAATCCTGACAAACACGCCTCAGCACTTCCTTCCCCAGTGGGCCTCGGCGGCGGGGCGGGGCGGGGTGGGGCGGGCGCGTCCAGTCCCGTCCAGCCCTGGGTGCTGGCGCGGAGCACGTCCTCCAGGCCCCGCCAAGGGGGAGCCTGGAGGGGGAGGCCCGGCGCGGGGGGCGGGACGGGTGGAGAGCGACGCCTGCCTGAAGACGCGCTAGCTCTTCTCCTGCGCCTGGACTGCAGAGACGGTGACTCAGAGCTGTGGCTCCAGCTGCTCCCAAGCTGGACCCCTGTGGCCCCCCCTACTGCTCCTACGACGCTCGTAAGGCCGTCCTCATTGCATCTAATCATAATCGCCTACGTGTAGCGAGCGCTTCGTCTGAGTCCCGATCCAGCTGCACTCCCCGCATCTCACCACCCAGAAGACGACCTCCTTCTTACCCCATTTTGCACATGAGTAAACTGAGGTCTGAGAAGTGAAGTGACTTGAAGCAGCCCAGCAGCCAGGGCAGAGGCGGGGTTCTGGCCACCTAGAGGAGTCCGCTCCCCCCCCCTCCCCCGCCGCCGGGCAAGGCCTCAGCTTTATCTGGGACGCGCAGCCCGCACAGACCCCAAAAGGAAATGTGTGGCGAGGGAGGAGTGAAGCCCCGGCCTGAGCCGGGCGGTTCGCTTTCCGCTTCCCCTGTTTCACCCTTTCTCCCTCTGTGAAAGCCGGATCCTGGCCGGCTGTCCCCTTGGGGGTCACAGGGGCTGACGCAGGGAGAGGGCACTGGGCAGGACCGCGGTGCGCCCCCACCCACCCACACACACTCGCTATTCTCCTGGCTCCTCAGCCCCAACGCCCCCTCTAAGCCTTTCCCGATGTGGCCTCTGCCCTTGGGAGACCTGCCCTCCTCCCAGGCTCCCAGGCACAAGGTCTCCTGGGGCGCAGGGTCGGGGTTGTTGCGGGGACCGAGGGGCCGGTGGAAGGGTTCTGTAGTGGTGTGAGGGCAGGGTCTTCGGGTTTCTGCACTCTGCAGCTGACGTCCACACCCAGCGCTCTCCCTCCCATACTCGGCAGCTGGAGGTCGCCTTACCCACAGTTTATTTTTATCTTCCGTCGGTTTGCACCCCAGGAGGAACAGTGTCATGGGGGCTGCGAGTGAGGCAACGCCGAGTTCTGTGTGGCACTGTGGACGAGCGTCTTCTCCACCCAGCACGCAGCTACCCCATCTGCCAAATGGGGTTGAAAGTGGGAGAGGGCACCGCGCCTGAAAGGCGGCGCCCCGCTCCCCCCGGCGGGCTCCTGGGGAAAGTCAAGGTCGCAGACTACTCCCAACCTGAGTGGCTGACAGCATTCCCTCTCCCTAAGGTTAGATCTGAGCCTGGGGTCTGGGAGGACCAGAGCTACTGTGGGAGGCCGGGATGGGACAGCTTTTTATAGGGTCCTCCCTTGATCGGAAATGACTGACCTTGGCCTGACCTCATTGCTGACCTCTCGCCCCCCACAAAAACCCCTTAGCCGGCCCTTTGGTCCCCTCCCCCATCCTCCTCGCATTCCTCGCACCCAAGTTCTAAGCTCCAGGCGTAACTACTCCTGTGACCAGCCTGCCCATTCCTCTGGGGTCCGCTTTCCTGCACCATGTCTCTGCGCTTTCCCACACACTGACACCCCCACCCCCCGCCCCCGATTATTCAGCCTTCAATATCTGTCCAGGCATCACTCCTTCCTGGTGTGCCCGACGCGCATCTCGATCTTCCCCAGCCCACTGGATAGTGATTTGTTATTGACTTGGCTGTCTCCCCACATCCCACTGGAACTCCTCGAGAGCTCTTATCTTTAGTTCGGAACTTTGCCTCCCCCCCTCCCACGTCTAGCACTGGACTGGAGCCCACTTAATGCCTAGTAAGTTGACCAGAGGGGTGTGCAGGGGGTACAGCTGTCGGCACCTCTAGGAAACTGGAGAAGGGGCTGAGAAATGCCCTTCTCCACTACTACCCAGCCCCCATCCATCCCCTCCTTCAGCTCGCGTGGGCCCCCACTTTCTCCACGGCGAAGACCGGGTAAGCGAATTGGGCGGCATTCCTGTTCAGGTAACTGTCTCGCACCGTTGCTCCGGCCGAGCCAGACCCGTCATATTCCACCCCTTCTTAAGGGCCCCACTGGTATCGTTGCCCATTTAAGAAAGAGGAAATTCTTTTTATAAACAAGCGCCCAGTCTCGAGCGCGGAGCTTGCTCCGCCGAATCCCCGGGCAGTTAAGGTGCTTCCAGGCACAGCGCCTGCTCCAGGCGCAACCCAACGAGAAAGCGCGGTCACCCCCGCCGCATCACTGCCCTCTGCAATTCTGGGGTTGGAGTCTGAAGGACTGGAAGAGGCCAGAGGCGGGACTTGGGGGAGCCTAGAAACAGCCCAGGGAGAGTCTGTAAAGTGCAGCCCTACCACTGGGCGAAGGTGTGTCGGGCGGCTCCCAGTGGCCGAGGGGGTTCCCCGCCCACACAACTCACCCCCACACCCCCTCCCTGTCTGGGCAGATTCCGAGGCCCCAGGGCGCAAGGCCCGAGTGCCCGCTTTCTTCTTATTGGCCGGGAAGGGTGAGGCCGTGGCAGGGAGTGCAGACGCTCGAGACCATCCCTGCCCCTAGGGGGAGCTGGGAGTCAGCGCCCGGGGAACGTTAACTGCGCGGCTTGGGAGTCCTGGCCGCTGGGTTCCCCGGAGAGATCGCAAATGAGTTGGGCCTCCAAGGCAGGGACTCTGAGGTTCCTTATGACGTGGCGCAGGAAGGGGAGGGAGAACCGCGCCTCTGTTTGAATGCCTGGAAAATGGGTTGCTGGGGGAACAAAAATGCCGGGGCCACTCGAGCGAGAGGAACGAGACTGCAAGAGGAGGAAGACAGCGAGAGGAGGAGACACTGGAGTGGGGCGCTCCTCTTAATGGTTCAGGGGGTTCGTACTTTCCCGGTTGCCGTTCCCCTGCTCTTCTAAAGAAGAGAACTAGCACTGATTTAGCATTCATCAGACTCTTTTAATTGCCAGTTGGAGCCTGTTCTCGGCCCAGGAACTGGATCTGTTAGGGCACTCCTTTAGGTGCTCAATAAATATTTTTGAAAAAATAAAAAAAAAATTAAGGCCCAGTGTTGGGCACAGTGTGCAAGGGCTTTATGTCCATTGCGAGGTTGGTATTGTCCCATTTTGCAGATGAGGACAAAAACCTGTCTAAGGAAACAGCAGGTCCCTATGGAACCGCGGTGGGCCTGCCTCTAAAACTCCCTCTCACTCTGCTGTCCTCCATGTCCAGCGGGCTAGTCTGCCCCATTTATTCCACCCCCCAGCCAGGCACAGGCGAGAGTTCATGCAGAAGGCTCCCTCTTCTGCTCCTCTTCAGGAAGCCCGTACAAGAAGTGTTGGTGGGAGCTGTGGGCCAACAGGGTGGCTCCGTGGGCAATGGAACAGGTCCAGACCTGGGGAAGGGGTGACTGTGAGAATAACCCCTCTGGGGGAGCCCCAGTCCACCCACCCCCGCCTCCGTCTATTGCCCCCTCTCCTCGCCCTCCCCGTCCCAAGGCACCCGCTGACCCTACAGTACCAGGTAGGTGGTGAGGCCCAGGTAGGCCATGGCCAGCAGGGCTACAAGGCTGAAGTAGGCGGGGTGGGGGAGGCTGGGCAGGTAGCTGACCACGAAGTAGAGGTTGATGGCACAGATCAGTGCCATGATGGAAGAAGTGATGGCCTTGCTTAGCCTGGAGGACAGGAGGGAAACTCAGGACTGGTTGCATCTCCTCCCCGCCAGTGCCCTGAGCCAGCCTGAAGCAGGGGTGGGGCTAGTGGAGAGGTAACCAAGCCAGCCTCCCCTGGCCGGGCCGTGAGACCTGGAGCAGCCCCGCCCACTTCTG